TTTTTTTTTTTTGGTTCTAGGTTATTCTTAATAATTCTGAGGAACAAGAGGAGATGAGAAGCTTCTCAGGACCGCTGATTAGGTAAATCACTGTAAGAGCTGCTGAGTTAAGGGCTTTTGAAACCTGGAAAATCTTCCTGTTCAAATAAGCATTATGGGGATTTATTCTTAGTTTCCTTAGAAAAAAAATGTCTATTCCTGTTGGAGTAGAATTCTCTGTGCTACAAAATAGAGCCAAATGTGGCCTGAGCCATTTTGACAAGCTATTTGACAGTTGAAAGACAGAAAGAAAAATTAGCCGAATGGTTTAGAAATCTAAAATTGGTTCCATTTTGCAGAGGTTACAGGGTAGAAAGTTTTAGTGTTCCCTGTACTTGACAGATAGTACAAAAGTGGAGCACAGCCTGGGAGATCATAGACAAGTGGATCACAGTGGAAAAATTTTTTTGCAACACTGGCTTTTAAAAATTTTTTTTATTTTAATAGTGGCTTTTTTTCTTGAGAGAGAAATAACGTCCTGAGCTTCAAGGTAGTGGTCGGTGTGCAAGTCTGCCCTCTTCAGGACTGATCTGGAACTGCTTTTAAATTCCTAGTCAAGTTTCTGATAAATATTCAGGAAGCCTTTGTTGTGGAGTCCTGGCTGGGTGTCAGAGGACTTGAGGCCCAGGTCCAGGCATCCTCCTAACATGGTAGTGGTGCCAACATGGTTGGACACGTCAGTTAGCTCTTTCTGAGCCTTAGTTTTTCCTCTGAGAAATGGTATAACACCCATTCTGCCTACTCCCAGGTGGTGGCTGTGAGATTCAAGTGAGATTATGCACATGGAACCCTTTAAATATCATCATACTATATAAATGTATTCTTTTCCTGAAGCTCCCCCTCCAAGAAAGTCCCCATATAGTATTTTGACAGCTCCTTCAAGTAAAAAATGAGTGTTGTCTCTATGTCTTACACACAGGTATACGGATGTGGGGCACAGCACTGAATGGGGTATTCAAATACTGGGGTACTGGACCCAACCTGGTTTCAATTTTATTGGATGATCTCTAGCAAATAATAATGCCCGTTTATTGAACACTTAATATATGCCATACAAGTTGCTAATTTATTTTTGTGTAGAGGTATGTTCTTGTATTGTCCCTGTTCTACCAGGAAGTGACTATCCTGCAGTTACAGACATTACCCAGCCCTGGGTTGTCAGGCTGATGTCTGAACCCCAGCCAAGCCAGCACCTGCACACTGTTGGAGGAGCCTGGGTCTGGAAGAGGGGAAGGTCTGCCTGCTCACTTTTTGCTCCCTGAAATCTTTCCATAGGGAAGATGTGCACAAGGTGGATATCATGATGTTTTGCCAGCAGAAAGCAGCTCAGAGCCACAAATCTGAGACACTGAGAAGCAGAGACGCAGCTCTTTTGTGGCAACTGTTGGTTCTCCTCTGTCGCCAGAATGGGGTAGGTTACTGCTTTGAAGGGAGAGCAGGTGCAGGCTGAACTGAAATTTAAGTCCTCATGGGATAGCTAACAATTCAGTTTATGGCATGATTATTTATGAAAAGCAATATTAAAGAAGCAGCAAATTGCCCCAAGAGAAAAAATTGCTCAAATGTCAACATCAGTTTGCTAACTTGAACCTTTCCCCAGATGTTCTTCTCCCCTGGCCTGAGATTATGGAACAGCTCTTGGTTATTGCACCAGCCAGATAATACACCTGTGAAATTGTGGTAACCTTTGTGGCTCCTGACAGGCAGAAAATAACGATGATAGTGAAGGTGAAGTGTGAAATACAGCAATCCAAGAAAAGACTGCCTTGTGTTTACATAATTGACCTCCTTTTGAAGAAGGCAGATGCTCTCATGTCTTCCTTCTCTGGCCTGGGCTGCCAGCATGAGGACTAATAGGCTTTTCCCCCAGGATGACCCTCTTTGCCTTACAGTCCATGGTGGGGTCTGACATAGCTGAGCTGCTGATGCAAGATTGCAAGAAGCTAGAGAAGTACAAGAGGCAGACCCCAGTGGCTAACCTCATCAACCTGACCGACGAGGACTGGCCAGTGCTGAGCTCTGGGACCCGGAACTTGCTCACCGGGGAGATCCCACCCAGTGTGCAGACGCCTGCACAGATTATGGAGAAATTCACTAAACTGCTCTACTATGGAAGGAAGAAGGCAAGTATACCCTTTCCCCATACTTGTTTTAAAAGAAATAACTGCCATCCCTCCCTATCGCTCACCCCTCCTCCAATGATATGACTAATATACTCTAATTTTAGAGAACATGTGAGAAGCTCAGAAAGGTACAAAGAAGAAAATTAAAACACTCATAATCCTACCATTAAAAGTAACACCTGTTAACATTTTGATATATTTACTTCCACCATTTTTCTATGCATATATGTTAAAAATAAAATAAAATTACATATACAATTGTTTATCTTTTTAACTTAAGATTATATGGTGAAATATCCCTATGGCATTAAATATGCTCCAATTAAAAAAATGCTTTACCATATTCTGTCATGTGAATATATCATATTTTATTTAACCAATCCACTATTGTTGAATATATAGGCTATCTACAGTTTTGTTAACCATTATAAATTATACCATTCGAACGTCTTGTTACATAAGTCTTTGGCTGATCTTCTTTTATTTTGTTAGGCTAGATTCCTAGAAGTGGAATTATTGTGTTGAAGCTATACATTTTTAAAAGGTTTGTCATGTATTCACCAGATTAGTTTCCAGAAAGTCTGTTTACACGTGATGTTCTTGCTGCTGTACCCAAGGTGTGCCTACCAATATTGAATACTTTAATCGAACAGATGAAGAGTGATGTTTTCTTTAATTTTGAAATCGTTTGCACTTTAAAAACTTCATAAAATAAATTTAAATACTTGAAGATATGATTAAAATCAGTTTGAATCAATTTTATTCAAAAATCGAAAGATAAAAAGGATATATATATATATAAAATAGGAAAATGACCCTTCATGTACCCAATTTCTTTCTCTAAAATATC